TAGTAGTTAGTTAGTTAGTTAGTTAGTAGTTAGTTAGTTAGTTAGTTAGTTAGTTAGTTAGTTAGTTAGTTAGTTAGTTAGTTAGTTAGTTAGTTAGTTAGTTAGTTAGTTAGTTAGTTAGTTAGTTAGTTAGTTAGTTAGTTAGTTAGTTAGTTAGTTAGTTAGTTAGTTAGTTAGTTAGTTAGTTAGTTAGTTAGTTAGTTAGTAGTTAGTTAGTTAGTTAGTTAGTTAGTTAGTTAGTTAGTTAGTTAGTTAGTTAGTTAGTTAGTTAGTTAGTTAGTTAGTTAGTTAGTTAGTTAGTTAGTTAGTTAGTTAGTTAGTTAGTTAGTTAGTTAGTTAGTTAGTTAGTTAGTTAGTTAGTTAGTTAGTTAGTTAGTAGTTAGTAGTTAGTTAGTTAGTTAGTAGTTAGTTAGTTAGTTAGTTAGTTAGTTAGTTAGTTAGTTAGTTAGTTAGTTAGTTAGTTAGTTAGTTAGTTAGTTAGTTAGTTAGTTAGTTAGTTAGTTAGTTAGTTAGTTAGTTAGTTAGTAGTTAGTTAGTTAGTTAGTTAGTTAGTTAGTTAGTTAGTTAGTTAGTTAGTTAGTTAGTTAGTTAGTTAGTTAGTTAGTTAGTTAGTTAGTTAGTTAGTAGTTAGTAGTTAGTTAGTTAGTTAGTTAGTTAGTTAGTTAGTTAGTTAGTTAGTTAGTTAGTTAGTTAGTTAGTTAGTTAGTTAGTTAGTTAGTTAGTTAGTTAGTTAGTTAGTTAGTTAGTTAGTTAGTTAGTTAGTTAGTTAGTTAGTTAGTTAGTTAGTTAGTTAGTTAGTTAGTAGTTAGTTAGTTAGTTAGTTAGTTAGTTAGTTAGTTAGTTAGTTAGTTAGTTAGTTAGTTAGTTAGTTAGTTAGTTAGTTAGTTAGTTAGTTAGTTAGTAGTTAGTTAGTTAGTTAGTTAGTTAGTTAGTTAGTTAGTTAGTTAGTTAGTTAGTTAGTTAGTTAGTTAGTTAGTTAGTTAGTTAGTTAGTTAGTTAGTTAGTTAGTTAGTTAGTTAGTTAGTTAGTTAGTTAGTTAGTTAGTTAGTTAGTTAGTTAGTTAGTTAGTTAGTTAGTTAGTTAGTTAGTTAGTTAGTTAGTTAGTTAGTTAGTTAGTTAGTTAGTAGTTAGTTAGTAGTTAGTTAGTTAGTTAGTTAGTTAGTTAGTTAGTTAGTTAGTTAGTTAGTTAGTTAGTTAGTTAGTTAGTTAGTTAGTTAGTTAGTTAGTTAGTTAGTTAGTTAGTTAGTTAGTTAGTTAGTTAGTTAGTTAGTTAGTTAGTTAGTTAGTTAGTTAGTTAGTTAGTTAGTTAGTTAGTTAGTAGTTAGTTAGTTAGTTAGTTAGTTAGTTAGTTAGTTAGTTAGTTAGTTAGTTAGTTAGTTAGTTAGTTAGTTAGTTAGTTAGTTAGTAGTTAGTAGTTAGTTAGTTAGTTAGTTAGTTAGTAGTTAGTTAGTTAGTTAGTTAGTTAGTTAGTTAGTTAGTTAGTTAGTTAGTTAGTTAGTTAGTTAGTTAGTTAGTTAGTTAGTTAGTTAGTTAGTTAGTTAGTTAGTTAGTAGTTAGTTAGTTAGTTAGTTAGTTAGTTAGTTAGTTAGTTAGTTAGTTAGTAGTTAGTTAGTTAGTTAGTTAGTTAGTTAGTTAGTTAGTTAGTTAGTTAGTTAGTTAGTTAGTTAGTAGTTAGTTAGTTAGTTAGTTAGTTAGTTAGTTAGTTAGTTAGTTAGTTAGTTAGTTAGTTAGTTAGTTAGTTAGTTAGTTAGTTAGTTAGTTAGTTAGTTAGTTAGTTAGTTAGTTAGTTAGTTAGTTAGTTAGTTAGTAGTTAGTTAGTTAGTTAGTTAGTTAGTTAGTTAGTTAGTTAGTTAGTTAGTTAGTTAGTTAGTTAGTTAGTTAGTTATAGTTAGTTAGTTAGTTAGTTAGTTAGTTAGTTAGTAGTAGTTAGTTAGTTAGTTAGTTAGTTAGTTAGTAGTTAGTTAGTTAGTTAGTTAGTTAGTTAGTTAGTAGCAGATTTGAATCTTTCATGTTGAACAGGAAAACATAACCTTAACTGTTCCCCCTGGTCAGTTATTTGGACACCGGGATATTACTGTAGTAGGTGAAATTATACGGCTAATGATTGTGGAATTTATGTATCAGATATTCATGTAATCATATATGCGTATTAATGTATTAAATACGAGAAAAATAAGAACTAAAATTGAAAAGAGCCTCAGTTCTATAACAGCTATTGAAAGTCACGATCTCTGTACCATATTTTGAAATCATTTTTCTGCAACCGCTTCGGAATGGTTCTCAAAAATTTCATAATTTTAAGCTTATAGAAGCAAATGGTACTAATATTTTTCTTAGATTTTTTTTGGTCCGAAAAAACACTTACTGGGTTGTATGGGGCATGTAAATTCCAAAATAATGTAAAAAATTTTTTAATGGACCAAAGCAAATATGGCACTTCGTAGACCAAAAATATTTAAAAAAAAATTAAAATTATTTCTTCCATAATCAGCTCAAAATTACGGAATTCTTTAGATCCATTTCGAAATGTTGGCAGAAAAGTGGTTTTGAACATATTGTAGTACTAAGAGCAATCCAGTGTAGAGGAAACTGATGCCCTTTTCAAAAAAACTGTTTGATGTTTTTCGTGATCACGACATTGAAATATATTCCTACAGAAGATTCTTAAAAAGACAGTTCCTCGGGACACTCTTTGAACATCATTATTTGTTAAAATAAAAATACAACACAAAATTTATCTAATAATAGTATTTCAAATGCATATATTTTCTTTTTAACTTCATTTTAAAACTATAAACAAATATTTTTTTAAAAAAATAAAACAAAATTTTTTTAACAAAACCGTGAAAAAGAAAACTTTAAAAATAAAGCATCTTTTCCATTATGTAAAAAATCACAAAGTCCAGTCATTACAAAAAGTAATCCCGTTCCATTTAGAAGACAGTGGTGTAGGCAGCGGCGGAGTAAGGATAGTAAGAAGCATAAGGAGCAGCATAAGCGGCAGCTACGGGAGCAGTGTAGGCAGCAGCTACGGGGGCGGTGTAGGCGGCGGCAACAGGGGCGGTGTAGGCAGCAGCAACAGGGGCGGTGTAGGCGGCAGCAACGGGAGCTACAACGGGGGCAGTAGCAACACCATTGTAGTTGCGGGCAACATATTGAGAGCTAGTAGCGGTAACAACACCAGCAGGAGCGGCGGCTACAACAGGAGCAGCAGCGAAAACCGCGGGTTTGGCATAGGCGGAGCACACCAAAGCGAACAAGGCAATGAAGACGGACTGTAAAGGGAAATAAAAAGGATGTTATTAAGTGTTTTGTTTAATTAAAAAAATTGAATTTTTTTAATTCTTTTATCAAATTAAAATAAGTTCCTACCAATTTGAACATTTTGTTGGGATTTTGTTGTGTTTACTACTTTTAGAAAACTATACTAAAACAATGCTACAACTCAGGCTTTTATAGTCAAATTATTTGGTCTTGGTTTTCGCTGATAGAATAATTTAATTTATTTTTATTATTTTTTTAATAAAACTTGAAGATGTCCGCCAAAAAAACAATTTTAAAAATTTTATACAAGTACAATTTTAATAAATTTAAATGTGAATATCTATCTATGCATGCATGTGTTTAGTATGCGATTACGTTCTATAAACCCTATTTTTGTATTTGTCTGATTTCCATATAAAATTCATACGCCGGCAATTTTTAGTTGTTGTCTTTTTAATTTTTTTTATTTCTAAATGGTCTTGAGACAATTCGTCTTCCAATTTGCTTTTTTTAATCATTGCCAAGTTTTTAGTACTCTACGATTTTTTACAGCTGTTGGTGGGCCAAAAAATATGAAATAATTTTAAAATAAATTAAAATTTTATGCGAAATTTTCATACACTACACTAAATATTGATTATTGTATTCCTCAAAAATATACACTCAAAAAAAGGATTGAGTAGTCCCCGTACTCAAACCAATCCCGAGCGGTGTCACAACTACGATAAGTACGGTTTTACTTAAATCAAGTACAAAATACTTGATTCAAGAACGGAGCTGTTCACAAAACCTAATTTAAGTATTTTTTGGATCAAGTGGGTACTTGTTGTACTTATTTAGAAAATTTTCGGTTAAATTTAAACTTGATTAAGATTAAGCAGATTATTTTAAAAAACTTCCCATTAACAATTTTTTATTTTATATAGATATAACCCCTGTCCTCAATAAACATCTATATCCGGTGAAGTCCAAGATTTGTTAACTTCTCAACTTAATTAAGTTAAACAGTGTAGGGTATTCTGATAACTTTTAATTGTTTAAAAAAAAAAATCACTCCAAATTAAAGCATGCTAACCGGCAGTTTTGTTTAAATAAAATTTTTTTGTTTGATGCAGTATTAAAGTTTTGACAATAATTAAATTTTGTACACGTACTAAAACTGTTGGGTCGCATGAATCATTAAATAAATAATATTGATTTATAATATATCACATGGATTACAGAAAACTTAATTAATTGGATACTATGGCAAAAACGAAAATGTTCATTATTGAAGTTTGTAAGAATTTGAAAGTGAAATAAATTGTATTTAGCGATTTGAGACAAATCTTTGGAACAGTTCAAAATCTCTTATAAAAAAAAATTTATTATAGTATTTAATGGAAAATTGAAATTTTTAAATAGCACTACTAACTTATAACAAAAATGGTACGTTTTAAGTTTTAAAGTAGTAAATTAATTTTCCGTAAGACTCTAGACTAGAATGTAGGCTAGATTATAGACCAGGCTACAAGCAAGACTACAACTAGATTATATACTGGAGTATTTATTAGACTATATAGTTAGACTACACTGTAGACTAGACCATGGACTAGACTATTGACTAGACTACACTGTAGACTAGACCATGGACTAGACTATAGACTAGACTATCGACTAGACTAGACTAGACTAGACTATAGACTAGACTATAGACTAGACTATAGACTAGACTATAGACTAGACTATAGACTAGACTATAGACTAGACTATAGACTAGACTATAGACTAGACTATAGACTAGACTATAGACTAGACTATAGACTAGACTATAGACTAGACTATAACTAGACTATAGACTAGACTATAGACTAGACTATAGACTAGACTATGACTAGACATAGACTAGACTATAGACTAGACTATAGACTAGACTATAGACTAGACTATAGACTAGACTATAGACTAGACTATAGACTAGACTATAGACTAGACTATAGACTAGACTATAGACTAGACTATAGACTGGACTATAGACTAGACTATAGACTAGACTATAGACTAGACTATAGACTAGACTATAGACTAGACTAGACTAGACTAGACTAGACTATAGACTAGACTATAGACTAGACTATAGACTAGACTATAGACTAGACTATAGACTAGACTATAGACTAGACTATAGACTAGACTATAGACTAGACTATAGACTAGACTATAGACTAGACTATAGACTAGACTATAGACTAGACTATAGACTAGACTATAGACTAGACTATAGACTAGACTATAGACTAGACTATAGACTAGACTATAGACTAGACTATAGACTAGACTACATACTAAACTATAGACTTTTCACGTATTAAACAAATTCTTAGGGTTGACTTTTTGCTTCAACTTTATATTTAATCTTAAATTAAAAAAGAAAACAACTGAATTATTTGTTCGATAATTGCACAATAAAATGGAACTAATTTATTTAATTCTATTGACACTATCATTATCCAATGGTTATATTTTTTATACAAAAAGTCACAACTTTTCCATATAAACATTTTTAAATTGTCCACATAATCGTTGTTACCAATTAAATTATACATATAGAACATATAACGTCAGGCTCATAACAAACCATAATGAGATTAAACTATTGGTGATATGTTCTCATCATCAGCAATTCCAATAAAATATGTGTATTATATAAAATATATATAGATAAACAATAAGCACATGTCCGGCAGTTTTTCACGGTATCAAGGCCTCGATTTTAGACAGATTTTGTTAGAACAAAATAACATAGTAATGACTTGTACTTAATCAAGAACATAATTTTACATTACTACTACATACCGTCTTTATTACTTAGAAGGAGTTAAGTAATGACTTGACATTTTGTTTTAGAAGGTTTTTTTTCACAAAAACTAAATAAATATTTTTTGATGAAAACTAATAGTATCAAAACTACTTACTTAACTTCTTATTTGCAGGCGATCGTATTAAGTACTTATATAACTCCCTCTTTGTAAGCGAACGTTATAAGTACTTGCCTCCAGTGCCTTCATTATGTTAAAATAATGCCTTAAAATGCTATTGATTAAGTATAATTTTAACATTTTAACCAATTACTTTGAAATGCAAGTTTTTGCTTGGTAACTAGTTACCTTTATGTAGCTATTTAATGAAGATAGTAATCAATTGTTATTTTTGTGTACCAAAGTCATTTTCAACAGTTTTTTTTTGTCAAATGTAATTTATTTAAATTTCATTTCTGCATTTATAACCAAAGTCTGTAAGTGGTTCCTAAAGTCGCTTAATGGGGATAATCCTTTTAATGGGGATAGTCCTTTAGAACTATAGGTACATAGAATTATTGTAACATTTTAACCAACTGACACATATAAAAAGATTATATATTATAAACCAAATTTTATCATATAATTTGATTTATAAGCAATGACACAAAACTAAATTTTCCGCAACAAAAATTTTGCTTTAATTATGAAATGTATTTAAAAAGGAATTTTAATTGTTTTTTTTTTAATTTTAATAGAAAATTTAAAATTTTATACAGTCTCTTTTTTCATTATATGTCCAGAGTACAAATTGTCTACCGTTGTCAGGTGTTTGCATGTAAGTTGCAACAATTGTTGCATTTGTTACCAGCCTTTACAGACAAAATGTATGTATTTATGTTTGTATGTGTGTTTGCCCAATTAAAATATTAAATTTAATTATTTCATTAATGTTTGTTTATTTTCTCATAATTGTATTTTGTCAATTGTATTTTATTTTTTTTTTTTTTTTGTCAAAATTCAGACAAACATATTTTTTCCATTTAAACGGAGTCTTAAAATATAACTTGGTAAAAAGGATGTAAAAATATTACATATTTGTAATATGTTATACAGTAATGTTCATAAAAAGAGCACAAAAAAAATTTTGGAAGATATCTTCTATAGAATGTTTTGGATATTTTCAGTGTTTTTAAAATTTTTTCTTTTTTTATAGAAAAATGTTGCTCTTATATTCCATATGAAACATTTAAAAGAATTTTTTTAGAGTCTGAGAGAGACATTTTTTATTAAATATTTCTTCTCTCCATAGAAAATTTTTATACAAATTTTCTGTTTTTAAAGTGTTTTCTTAAGACAAATGTTTGCTCTTAGAGCCTGTGAGAAAATTTCCAGAGAAAAATGTTGCTTTTATATTCTATATGAAACTTTTAAACGAATTTTGTTCTCATAACCTAAGAGAGACATTTTTTATTTAATATTTCTGCTCTTCTATAGAGAGCATTTCTGTTTGAGAGAGTCATTTTCTATAGAAAATGTTTGCTTTCTGTTTCCGTGAGAGATATTTTCTATGCAAAATTTTTGCTTTTAGTTTCTGAAAGAGACATTTTCTATAGAATATTTACAGATACATTTTCTATAGAAAATTTTTAGTTCTCATAGTCTGAGAGAGTCATTTTCTATACAAAATTTTTGTTTTCAGTTTCTCAGAGTCTGAGAGAGGCATTTTCTATAGAAAATGTTTGCTCTCAGTTTCTATAGAAAAATTTTGCTCTCAGTTCTCAGAGAATCATTTCCTATAAAATTTTTTGCTCTCGGTTTTTGAAAGAGACATTTTCTATAGAAAAGTGTTGCATTCAGTTTCTAATGGAGTCATTTGCTATAGAAAATTATTACTCTCAATTCTGAAAGAAACATTTTCTATAGAAAATTTTTGTTCTCAGTTTCTGAGAGAGACATTTTCTATAGAAAATTTTTGCTTTCAGTTTCTGACAGAGAATTTTGTATATAATATTTATAGATATATTTGCTATGGAAAATGTTTGCTCTCAGAATCTGAGAAAGATATTTTTCAAAAGAAATTTTTTGGTTCTCAGAGTCTGAGAGAGATATTTTGAATAGAAAATTTTTGGTTCTCAGAATCTGAGAGAGACATTTTCTATAGAAAATATTTGCTCTCAATTTCTGAGAAAGACATTTTCTATAGACATTTTTTTGCTTTCAGTTTCTGAGAGAGATATTTTCTATAGAATATTTATAGATATATTTTCTATATAGATATTATCTATAGACAATTTTTCTCTCAGAGTCAGAGAAAGATTTTCTTTATTAAATTTTTGAGAGAGAGAGAGTGAGAGAGCCATTTTCTATGGAAAATTTTTGATTTCTGATTATAAAATTTTCTTAGTTTCTGAGAGACATTTTCTATAGAGAAATTTTGCTCTCAGAATGTGATAGAGACATTTTCTATAAAAATGTTTGTTCTCAGTTACTTAGAAAATAGAAAATTTTTGATCTCTATTTCTAAGAGAGACATTTTCTATAGAATATTTTTACTCTCAGTTACTGAGAAATACATTTCCTATAGCAAATTTTTGCTGTCAGTTTTTGAGAGATACATTTCCTACAGAATATTTTTGCTCTAAGAGTCTAAAAGAGATTTTCTGCAAACTACCTTTGAACTCTGAGAGTCTGATAGAGATCTTCTACAGATAATGTTTACACAGAGAGAGAAGGAAATATACACGCCAGGTACCAAATTGACACCAAAGAGTTTATAATTTTTCAATAACATCCGTTGTCAAAGTATATACATACGTACGACAACACTATGTAATGTTAACAACGCAACGTTGTCAACGTTGACAAACAATCCGTTGCCAATAGTGAGCTTACCACGTTTGTTAACATTTAGACAACTAATGTGTATACAATTACATAGTGTTGTCGTACGTATGTATATACTTTGACAACGGATGGTATTGAAAAATTATAAACAGTTTGGTGTCAATTTGGTACCAGGTGTGTATATTTCTTTTTCCCTCTGTATAGGTTCACATATTTCGATAAATTTTCTCTCAGTTACTCAGATCATGTTTCATGTGCTAATCATTTTCCCACCACTGTCATAATAATTAAAAATAATTACTTACTATTTCGGTTAGTACCCACCTTTGTTATTAGACAGAAATTATTTACACTGCTTTGGAAACATTTAGACACTCTAATTACTAATTAATCCAAACTTAATGATGATAAAAATATAATAACGTCTATATTAATCGTGATTATTTATGATGAAATTTGTCTTGGTCAGCAGTAAACTTAAAAAAACAAACGTTAACATGGAAAAGACCAACTGACGCACACACACATATATATATATATAAGTAGAGCAGAGGGAGATTTTATTGTTCCACTAGAGTATTGGTAGTGGCATTCGAATGAAAGAGTATTGAACCACCACGACGTTGAAAATATTTCGCCCGTTGTGTGCGCCAATATTGTACAGCTGTTACGATACACACGGCACACAGAACCGTTATAAAGCATGTCAGTGTGATGGACATGATTAGCAAATGCTTGTGCATTTTTTGAGCATGCACGGCCATGGTATCCATAGATTGTTGTAAGATCTGTTGGAAATTTTTCGATGACTCGAGATCATGTTCAGCCTGTTGCAGTTCATCTTGAACATGACTAATACAGGTAACATCACGTATATGTGTGGTCTCCTGGGCTGAGTCATCATGTTCTATATGCAAATTGGTGTAATCGGTTAATTGAGGTTTGATGAGCAGCCAGTGTAGGTAGGAACAGTTGAAACGATTGCGTGATATACCCAATTCGGCCAGTTGGGGAAAAGCCTTGGCAAAAGTGTATTTTCCTTGAATCTCAGTAAGATTATTGGCATCCACATAAAATGATCTTATGTTAAGATTGGCGGGCACAAAAATATCCAAATTTAAATCTGTTAAATTGTTGTAGGACAAATCTAAACTGTCCAGCAAAACTAGTTTGGCAAACATGCCAAAAGTTAATTTCTTTATGCCAGTAGCTTTTAAATTCAATACCGTTAAATGCTGCAGATTTTGAAAGGTACTAATATTGGGGGTACCCACAGGATTATACGATAAATCCAATTCGTTTAAATGTGTTAGCAAAGTAATATTTGTTATATCGCTTAAGTTATTACTGCGCAATAAAAGTACATTTACTGATTGTCCATTGTATACATTGACCCTTGAAATGGAATTATTTATGGCCGATAAAAAGTTGGTGCCATTCACCACCAATGACGTCAATCTATTCGAATCTAAATCCAATTTCTTGGTTATGGTTTTATTGCATAAATTAAACTCTTGCAGTTGATTACGAGCCAATATCAACACTTCCGGTCCATAGGAATGTTGAAATGTCTGGGGATCAAAAGATTTCAAACGATTGTTGGCCAAATTCAAATCTCTTATATGTCTTAGATGATAAAATACTTCCGGTTTAATAAATTCCAATTGATTATTATCCAAGTACACAGCATCCATGTAGGTATTTTCAAAAAATAAATCCTCTGGTATAACCGACAATTGATTATTGGACAGTATAACTTTGTTCATATTGGTCAGACCGCGAAAAGCTAAAGTGCCCAAAGTGTGCAACTTATTATAACTCAAATCTAAACGCATTAAATTATGAGCTCCCACAAATACCGAGGTATTGATTTTCTCTATATGATTGTGACTCAAATTCAACGTTGTCAAGGTACTGGCCGAGGTAAAGGTATTACGTGATATATCCTCTATTTCAGTATTCGAAACATCTAAAGTTTTCAAAGTACTAAAAACATCAAACAATTTAGCGGGTATATCCAACAGCACGGAATTGTAAAATTTCATAAAATTCGTTTGATTGGCCTTGACATAGGGTGGTATTTTAACATTTTGCGAATGCGTTACTTGAAAACCCGATACCGTACAGAATTTTTCCATGCCCCCGATATTTGTATTGTATTCATCACATTTTAATACTATATCCTCAGCTTTGCTCAAGGATATAATTATAGCAATTAAAATATAAAATTTTAAAAATATTTTTATAATTTTCATTTTTTTTTCTTTCTTTATATTACTCCCGTCTAATTGTTAATGCGATTTAATACGACCGTTTCTTCTTTACAACTGAATGAAATATTTATTTTAAAAGGAACTCTTTCGTTTTAATTCTTTATTTAAAAAAGTTTTATCTATTTAGTTTTGTTATGTTTATTAAAAATATATATTTTTTATTTTAATTTTTGATAAGAATTATTGCAACAAAATGTCTTAAAACTGTAAAATACTAGGGTCTGTCCGAAGCTCAAGTTAATAATCATTCATTAAACAACTACTAAGTAAAAATTTTTACTTAACAAACTATGGGGCCCAGCTAAAATCAGCATAGAATATGTATACTCAACATTGATTACTGTAATCAAACCCAAACCTTAGTCTGAAATTAATTTTTTGTTTGTCTCGAACCAATATGCATTGAAGTGCATAAAAAAGTCGTTGCATTCAAACTACAGTTCGCTGACTTATTTTTATGTCACAGTTTTTTTTTTCTGATTTTTCGAACAGTGTATTCTTGAGACTGAACTTTGTCAATAAAATATGAAAAAAAAACATTTAAAAATTAAATGCAAATTGAAATCCAGCCGCTTTATTTGCATATAATTTTATGCTGATAACAACTAAAATTTTAAAGATTTTTATACTCTACACCACTATAGTGGAGAGGGTATAATACGTGTGTGCTGATGTTTGTAACGCATAAAAATATTGGTCCTACACCCACCGATCGACTTGGAATCACTTTCTGAGACGATTAAGACATGTCCGTCCGTCCGGCTGGCTGTGCGCAAGCTACAGGCTACAATCTTATAGATATTTTGCCACAAGGACGATGCCTATTGAAAATAATTGCAATCGGTCCATTATTTCACCTAGCCCCCATACAACCTTACCTTCCGATTTAGGGTTTTTAACTCATAACTACGTCAAATATACTACTATCTCACCAAAAATTTTCATAACTAATTTTATAATGATCGGCCCTCGTTTGACCCTAGCCCCCATACAAACCCCCCTTTAAAAAATAACTTAAACGTCCATCAATAAATACATCGGAATAATGGTAAAATGCATCTTGATGAAAAATACAGGGTATCATATAGTCGGCCATGTCCGACTATATTTTCCTACTTGTTATGAACAGTTTTCTTTCAGCATTTCCATGTATTAGACTACTTCCAATAATTATAAAAAATTTATCCATGTGCTGATAGAAAAAATTCTAATATGAACCTAAAATATTCTGTAGAAAATTGGTGCTCAAATTTCTCTCAAATCTGAGAAAAAAATAATTTACAGAAAATTATCTCTCAAAACTGAGAAAACATTTTCTATAGAAAAATTCTCTCTGATTTGACAGTAACTTTTGTAAAGACAATTTCTCTCTAATTTGATAGAATAATTTTCTATATAAAATTTCTCTCTATTTGAGAAAATCGTTTCCTATAGAAAAATTCTCTCTTATTTGAAAGAATCATTTCCGTTGGATAATTTCTTTCTAATTTGAGAGAAATTTTTTCTATAGAAAATGTCTCTCTAATTTGGGAGAAACATTTTTTCTATAGAAAATGTTTCTCTAATTTGAGAAAAACTTATTTCTCTCCAGTTTGTGCTAAACTTTTTCTATAGAAGGTTTCTCTCTAATGAAAGAGAAAAATTTTCTATATAAAATTTCTCTCTAATTAAAGAGAAACATGTTCTATAGAAAATTTCTCTCTAATTTGAGAGAAATGTTTTCTTTACAAAATTTCTTTCTAATTTGAGAGAAACTTTTTCTATAGACAATTTCACTCTAATTTCTATAAAAATTTTCTATATAAAATTTCTCTCTAATTAAAGAGAAACATGTTCTATAGAAAATTTCTCTCTAATTTGAGAGAAATGTTTTCTGTATAAAATTTCTTTTTAATTTGAGAGAAACTTTTTCTATAGACAATTTCACTCTAATTTTAGAGAAATCTTTTCTACAAAAAATTCCTTTCTAATTCGATACAAACTTTTGCTATTTAAAATTTCTCTCTAATTTGAGAGAAACACTTTCTATATAATTTTCTCTCTAATTTGTGAGAGACTTTTTCTTTGGAAATTTTTTCTCTTATTTGAGAGAAACATTTTCTATAGGAAGTTTCTCTCTCTGATTTTAGAGAAACTTTTGCTATAGAAAATTTCTCTCTAATTTGAGAGAAATACTTTCTATATAAAATTTCTCAAATTTCTCTCAAATATGAGAGAAATTTTCTAATTTGAGAGAAACACTTTCCATATAAAATTTCTCTCAAATTTGAGAGAATTTTCTAATTTAAGAGAATCATTACTTTCTTATTTCAAATTCTACAGAAAATTTCTTTCAAATCGGAGAGAATTTTTTTTTTAATTTGAGAAGAAAATTTTTATAGAAATAATCTTTCTAAATTTCTCTCTAATGTTTAAGAGATCTTTAAGAGATATTTGCTATAGAAAACTATAGAAAATCGCTCCAAATTCTAAGAGCAAAATTTTCTTTCTCTTAGATTCTGAGATCAAACATTTCAAAGAAATTAAAATTAAAACAAAATTTTTATAGGAAATTTCTCTGACAGAGAGAGATAAAGTTTTAAAAAATTCTTAGAAAATCTAAGAGCAAAACTTTCTCAAGGAAATTACTCAGAAAATCAGGAGTAGTTTAATGCCTTTATTCTTTATATAAGTATATTTTATCAATATATTTCAATAAATTTCATTATTCTTTAAATTTTCTACCCCATCACTTTAAAATGCCTTCTTTATCTAAATCTCCACTTGAGTAAACAGTAAATCAAAAATAATTTTCATAATCCTCAACCAAAACAAAAAGAAAGTTTTAACAGACATTTCTTCATTTCCGGTACAAAGTAAATAAATAACAGAATTTATATAAAGTTCTTTTTTTTATACTCATAAAAAAAGAGACCTTGAAAGAAAGATATAAATAAATACACATATGGAATCTTTTTTTAATACAAATAAAAATTATATAAAAAAAAACACAAATAAATTAAGTAAAATAATTGATAAAAAAACACTATACATAACAAAAACTAATAGGCTACTGTGTTACTTACTTTTAAAATAAAGAAAAAAATCTAAAGAAGGAACGTATGTATTGAACGTGACTGGAATTGAAAATTTGCATTAAATAGTTTTTTTGAAATTGTTGTTATTTTTTTTAATTTGTTTAAACTAAAGTTGATTTAATGCCAAAACATTAAACTGTCTTTAAATATTTTATTATTATTTTTGAATTTTTTTGTGTTGAAGCTCATAATGTGGGGGTTTTTTCAAGGAATTCTCTAAACATAACAAATGGACTGACTGTCCATCACCACCACCACCAGCCAAGTATTTACATAAAAACATTCATACATATATGTAGAAACAACAAGGTTCTTTTGCTTTAAGTACTAAAATAACTACAACAAAAAAATTGGTATATTTTGAAAAATACCAATTTGAAATTGTTTTGCTATATAATGACCACTAAATTGTGTGATTATCACAGTTCAATTTGTTTTCTTTTGCAAATCACAACTAAATCACAAACATTAAAATCAAAATGTTCAAATTCACCGCTATTGTCTTGATGGCCATCGTTGCCTGCGTTGCTGCTAAACCCGGTGTTGTTGCTCCATTGGCTTATACTGCTCCTTTGGCTGCCAGCGCTGTTGTCTCTCAGGAATATCATGGTAACTTTGCTGCTCCCTATGTAGCTGCTGCTCCTTACGTTGCTGCCGCTTCTCCTTACGTAGCTTCTCCCTATGTTGCCTCACCATACGTTGCCTCACCATATGTAGCTGCTCCTTATACCACTTATGCTGCTGCCTCTCCTTACGTAGCTGCTCCCTACACTGCTCCTCTTTTGTTGAAGAAGTAAATATAAATTGACTGTTAACGATTTGTTTGTTGTATTCGATACTCAGGAATGTTTTTTTTTTGTAGTAAATTTTATTAAATTAATAAAATAACAAAAATTGTTATAAAAACTAAAAAATTAACTTTCTTTAAATTTTTATATGGGCGCCATAATGTATGCTGTTTATTTTATTAATATTTTAGCTTTACTGTTTTTTGTATAACAGTTAAACTGTTATAATAATGATTTTACAGCAGTGTATAGCACAAAGTGTGAATTGTGAAGTTGCTTTCTATAATAATAACTAGTATGCAACTAGAGAAGGGCATGACCGATTAAAAGATACCCGACACCAGTGATGGGTAATACTAACAGTGTGATTTTTTTTTTTTTTTTTGTAAACGAACATTAATATTAATATTGAATTTAGCTTTATTTCAACATATTTGAGGATAGGTTTTAAATGTGTGGGCTGGGCAATATTCGATTTTTCTGAATTCCATTGTGATATATAGTGTTTATAAGTGAATTGTGGACATTCATGCAATTTTCTGAAATGAACTTTGTGTAGGTCCTAAGGTCAAAAGAAAATCGGCAGTATACAAAACTAAGTTTAACCGTTTTTTAAATAGATAGATAGATACATAGATAGATAGTTAGATAGATAGATAGATAGATAGATAGATAGATAGATAGATAGATAGATAGATAGATAGATAGATAGATAGATAGATAGATAGATAGATAGATAGATAGATAGATAGATAGATAGATAGATAGATAGATAGATAGATAGATAGATAGATAGATAGATAGATAGATAGATAGATAGATAGATAGATAGATAGATAGATAGATAGATAGATAGATAGATAGATAGATAGATAGATAGATAGATAGATCGATAGATCGATAGATCGATAGATAGATAGATAGATAGATAGATAGATAGATAGATAGATAGATAGATAGATAGATAGATAGATAGATAGATAGATAGATAGATAGATAGATAGATAGATAGATAGATAGATAGATAGATAGATAGATAGATAGATAGATAGATAGATAGATAGACAGATAGACAGATAGACAGATAGACAGATAGATAGATAGATAGATAGTAGATAGATAGATAGATAGATAGATAGTTAGTTAGTTAGTAGTTAGTTAGTTAGTTAGTTAGTTAGTTAGTTAGTTAGTTAGTTAGTTAGTTAGTTAGTTAGTTAGTAGTTAGTTAGTTAGTTAGTTAGTTAGTTAGTTAGTTAGTTAGTTAGTTAGTTAGTAGTTAGTTAGTTAGTTAGTTAGTTAGTTAGTTAGTTAGTTAGTTAGTAGTTAGTTAGTTAGTAGTTAGTTAGTTAGTTAGTTAGTGTAGTTAGTTAGTAGTTAGTTAGTTAGGTTAGTTAGTTAGTTAGTTAGTTAGTTAGTTAGTTAGTTAGTTAGTTAGTTAGTTAGTTAGTTAGTTAGTTAGTTAGTAGTTAGTTAGTTAGTAGTTAGTTAGTTAGTTAGTTAGTAGTTAGTTAGTTAGTTATTAGTTAGTTAGTTAGTTAGTTAGTTAGTTAGTTAGTTAGTAGTTAGTTAGTTAGTTAGTTAGTAGTTAGTTAGTTAGTTAGTTAGTTAGTTAGTTAGTAGTTAGTTAGTTAGTTAGTTAGTTAGTTAGTTAGTTAGTAGTTAGTTAGTTAGTTAGTAGTAGTTAGTTAGTTAGTTAGTAGTTAGTTAGTTAGTTAGTTAGTTAGTTAGTTAGTTAGTTAGTTAGTTAGTTAGTTAGTTAGTGTAGTTAGTTAGTTAGTTAGTTAGTTAGTTAGTTAAGTTAGTTAGTTAGTTAGTTAGTTAGTTAGTTAGTTAGTTAGTTAGTTAGTTAGTTAGTTAGTTAGTTAGTTAGTTAGTTAGTTAGTTAGTTAGTTAGTTAGTTAGTTAGTTAGTTAGTTAGTAGTTAGTTAGTTAGTTAGTTAGTTAGTAGTTAGTTAGTTAGTTAGTTAGTTAGTTAGTTAGTTAGTTAGTTAGTTAGTTAGTTAGTTAGTTAGTTAGTTAGTTAGTTAGTTAGTTAGTTAGTAGTTAGTTAGTTAGTTAGTTAGTTAGTTAGTTAGTTAGTTAGTTAGTTAGTTAGTTAGTTAGTTAGTTAGTAGTTAGTTAGTAGTTAGTTAGTTAGTTAGTTAGTTAGTTAGTTAGTTAGTTAGTTAGTTAGTTAGTTAGTTAGTTAGTTAGTTAGTTAGTTAGTTAGTTAGTTAGTAGTTAGTTAGTTAGTTAGTTAGTTAGTTAGTTAGTTAGTTAGTAGTTAGTTAGTTAGTTAGTTAGTTAGTTAGTTAGTTAGTTAGTTAGTTAGTTAGTTAGTTAGTTAGTTAGTTAGTTAGTTAGTTAGTTAGTTAGTTAGTTAGTTAGTTAGTTAGTTAGTTAGTTAGTTAGTTAGTAGTTAGTTAGTTAGTTAGTTAGTTAGTTAGTTAGTTAGTTAGTTAGTTAGTTAGTTAGTTAGTTAGTTAGTAGTTAGTTAGTAGTTAGTTAGTTAGTAGTTAGTTAGTAGTAGTTAGTTAGTTAGTTAGTTAGTTAGTAGTTAGTTAGTGTAGTTAGTTAGTTAGTTAGTTAGTTAGTTAGTTAGTTAGTTAGTTAGTAGTAGTTAGTTAGTTAGTTAGTTAGTTAGTTAGTTAGTAGTTAGTTAGTTAGTTAGTTAGTTAGTTAGTTAGTTAGTTAGTTAGTTAGTTAGTTAGTTAGTTAGTTAGTTAGTTAGTTAGTTAGTTAGTTAGTTAGTTAGTTAGTTAGTTAGTTAGTAGTAGTTAGTTAGTTAGTTAGTTAGTTAGTTAGTTAGTTAGTTAGTTAGTTAGTTAGTTAGTTAGTTAGTTAGTTAGTTAGTTAGTTAGTTAGTTAGTTAGTTAGTTAGTTAGTTAGTTAGTTAGTTAGTTAGTTAGTTAGTTAGTTAGTTAGTTAGTTAGTTACATAGTTAGTTAGTTAGTTAATTAGTTAATTAATTAATTAATTAATCATAGATCAGCCCCTCTTGGCTGATCTATGATCGCGCTCATTGTTTCGATCTTGAAGTTTTCATTTAGTTTGTTGTTAGACATTGAACCCGCATATCTTTTTTTCCGGATTTAAAGTATCAAGCCGTATCAATGCCGTATCATGCCGTATACGCATTATAACGAAAAACGAATTATTTTATTGGCAAGTTGTACTAATGGCTCTTTATAATGGGTTCTTCGTATAACTTGTTTATTTATTTTGTAAAAAAAAAACTCCATCGCACTAAATACTATGTTGCTGACATACAAATTTCTTAAAGCGATTGCATTTATGTTTTATAATTATTATAAAACTTTAATTAATAAAATATTATGACTTCTGACGTTTACTGACAATAAACATAAGAGAAATACGCCTACAAAGTACGCAGCTACTTGAAAAATATAAATTAAGGGCAATAAATTATATAACAGTGATTTTAGATATAAAAAGGTAAACTTATAAAACTGAACAGTATTACAAATATACGATTTGAAACAACAGGATTAACCACTGAAAATGTTAAAAGTGGTAAGTGTTAAACTAACATATTGCTAATTAAAAAACACATATTTTAAAGTTGTTAATATATGTATATTTACAGATTTTATTGCTAATATTTAGTGTGGAGTGGGCAAACACATTGGATATACTAGAGCTTAATAAAGATATTTTGAATAATTTTTATGAATATGTTTTTCAAAATTCTACCTATTTCGTTTATCACAATTCTACCGCTCTAATGCCTGCAACTAATCCCTGGCTGTTAGTGGAATTATTTATTACACCTTTAATACCAGGAGTTCCCTATAAACTTGCCACTTTTGTAGTGCGTATAGTGCGTTTATTTTTACCACCACGACCCTTTGTCAGCCTCGTACAACAGTTTGTGGAAAATATTTGTTGCTTTAAACCTTTTGCAAATTTAACTTTTACACTTGGTTTTACCGCAAACTTTCAAACATCTGGCCAATTCGGTTGAATGGGTTAAACTTAAGGTAGACAAAGTAATTATGAAAAATTATTTAAAACAAAATTTTGTAATAAACTTCTTATGTAAAATAATACTTAAGTTTAGAGCCTAAATAAAATAAACCTAAAGTAACGCTAACGGTTATTGAACTTTATGGGTTTTAAAATGAATTGTTAAAAAAAGTTAACTTAACTAAAGTTTGAAGAAGGAATAGACTAAAGTAAAGCAAGCAACCACACATCACACATTTTGGTTACTTAATACGCTTGTAGTCAGCGTTTAACAATAATAAAAAAGAGCCGGTAGTTTTTTTAAAAATATCAAATTTATTTTGTCAAGTTTTTGTCATAAAGTTGGTCTATTGTAGCACTTTAAACAAAAATATTATATTACAGTAAAAAACATTAATAAAAAAAAAAACCAAGGCCCTTTTTCTTAGAATTTATTTAATATTTTTTTACTATAAAATGTTGTTGATAACTTAACAAAATTATTAGTATTTGTCTAATACACAGCATCTTAACACGCACACAGTTCTTTTTTCCACGTATTGAAAAATAAAAGTTATTACATTTCAAAATGTTTAAAATCGTAAGTTTTTTTTTTTTTAATTGATGATAACAAGAAGGAAGAGAAAAAGTTTTAAACAAAATTATCCTTTTTTTCCAGTTTGTCTTTTTAACTCTTTTGGCTTTGGCTTTTGCCAAACCCGGCTACATACACTCAGCTCCTGTTTTGACATCTTATCATCATACCGCCACTGTGCCCATAGCACATGTTGTACGTCCTGTGGTTTCAGCCCATAGTGTTGTTGCTGCTCCATTGATTCATCATCAGCCAGCTATATTACATGGCAGCTCCCTTCATGGCTCTTATCATCATGGTCTTTATTAGATACAGTCACTAAAGACAAATTTGAAAAAAAAAAACAAATATTTGTTTTATATTGTAAATTGGCTTTGTTAATTGGTTGAATGCATTTAATAAATTTTTACTTAATTGTCTTGTTATATTAATTGGAAAAACTTAATAGAGTTTTAATACTTTTGTGATTGTAGTTATATATAATTCATACTTAAGACATTACCTAGTAATGATTAAGCTTATCACTTATGTTTTGAGTCTTTGTTTAAACGGAAAACATGTCGACAGTATATGCAAGACGAAGAGAGTGATCGTAAACTCTCAGGGATTAATTAAGTTCATATTGACGATACTAAATATTTGAGCCGAAGTCTCAAATAATAAGAGAAAGGGTGTGATCGTGAATACTTTAGACTGGCGATTCTAAATTGTAGATCAACTACCATTTTCCAATTCTATGTTATTTAAAACTAGCATACCCTGGGTGCTTCGCTACCCTAACTTAAAATAAACACATTCAAAATTTTGTTTACTTTTATAGAAAATTAGAAATTGATTAAACATTTTTTTTAATGTTTCAGTTTTATCCGTTCAATATCACGTGATTAAATTCGCATTCAGTAAGAAGTTGGTATTTTTAGTTTCATTCATTTAGCTTCCACATTATAGAAAATTTCGAAAGTAATATTTGAAAAAAAAGTACCATAAAATACCTCTAATAGATCATCATTTAATAAAAAAAATTTTGTGTTTCTGTGTTCAATATTATATACAATTCAAAAAATATAATTTGATAAATGAAAAAGTACCAAAAGTCCCTTTCAGTAGATACTTATTGACTAAGGTCCTTAAATTTTAAATTTTATTTCAATATCTATGTTCAATATCGTAAAAATATCAAAAAGTACCATAGGAAAAACGAAAAAGTACAAAAAATCTCTTTCAATAAATTCTCATTTAATAAGGACCGTGTGTTCCGGTTAACCATTATAAAGAATCTAAAAGGTACCATTTGAAGAATAGAAAAGTACCAAATAGTTCCCACTTATAGAATATTATTCAGTCAAGGCCATGTATGTTAAAATTAATGTTCCTAGGTTGAATATTTTAGAAAATTAAAAAAGTACCATCTATGAGCTAAAAAGTCCTAAAAAGTTGTCTCTTAAAGAATCTTATTCAATGAGGACCGTGTATGTTTAATAATCATGTGTTTTGAGTTCATATTAAAGAACATACAAAGAGTATCATTTGAAGGAAGAAAAAGTACCAAAAATGGAATAAATTTTACCTAAGTGGAAAGTACTAATAAAAAGAGTACAATGTTTCCCCTTTTCGCTTAGAATTATACTTTTTCGAGAATTAAGTTTACAAAATGTGCCGTATTTAAATCTATATATCACAGATAAAACTCAAACGAATAAAAAAATGCATTCATTTGTTCTAGAAAAATAGTGCTTTCAAAAAGTACCAAACAATTTACTCGAATTTGGTCCTATATAGGCTTTAGTACTCGAATTCCAAAATAATATACCAACAGCTTATTTTGTGTTAGTAAATAAACTACTTTTTCATATTCAATTAGTTTGAATAAAATTAAATTTCCTGTTTTTACCCCAGAGAAATAGCAAAAATTTTATTACAATAAATATTACAGAGTTAGTCCGTAATTTAATAGGAATAATTCAATAAACCGAAAAAGTTTTCTTAATGTGTTTAAAAAAGTACCATATATACAGTTTTCTCCCTTTTACACCCAAAAAAGACTGAATTTTAATTATTTCAAAAGTTATAAAGGGCCAAAAAAGGTACCAAAATCACCTTTGTTACACATTTTTACCCCTTAAAAGTACGAATTTCAAAAAAGTGCCAGACACCCATCTGCTCATTTTAAGAGTAGATACAGGTGCATTTAAAATTTTTCTTGTATCACTAATATTGTGTACGATAATTAAGAAAACCTGTTTTACCCGTTTTTTTCCCTTTTTACCCGTAAATGTACAAATTTCCAAAAATCCCTCCACACATCTACTGTCAAAATTTCATGATTCTAGGTTCAGCCGTTTGGGCTGTGCGATGATGAATCAGTCAGTCAGTAACGCTACTCTTTTATATATATAGATTATAACTTTATCACGAAGGTTGGTTTTGCCTATCACTAATTATACCCTACGCCACTTTAGTGGGAAAGATATATTGGATTTGTGCTGATGTTTGCAACGCATAGAATTAATGGTCCTACCTATATCAATCAGCTCAGAATCATTTTCTAAGTCGATTAAGCCATGTCCGTCCGTCTGTCTGTCTGTCCATGTAAACCTTGTAACGAAACTAAAAGTCACAATTTTGAAAATTATTGGATGCAATTTTGGTACACGCAAGGACGAACCCTATTGATTTTGGTTGATATCGGTATATTATTTCACTTAACTCCCATATAACCAGACCCCCTAATTTGGATCTCATAATTATGCCATATATACTAATATCCCTATAAAAATAGGCACAATTACGTTTTATACAAGCATAAATGATACTGCAAAATTTCGTAATGAACGACCCTTATATAACAATAGCCCCCTTGCAAAGCCCCCTATGAAAATGCTTGAACGCCGTTAATTCCCTTATAAACACGTGTATTTCAAGGAAATTCGGCATAATTAACACCAAATTTTGATTTTTTCATCAAAATTATATCGAAATTGTGGAAAAATTCAACATAAATGCTTTACTATTAAAATTAATACAGGCCCATAATTGACCCTACACCCCATACAAGTCCCCTTTAGAAAATGACTTAAACGCTTCTAACTAAATATAGCAATAAAATTCGACATAAAAAAGATTTATAGGAACTAAAATAAATTTCTTAAATTTTAAGATGATGGGTCCATAATTAACTCTACCCCTCATAAAAGGTCTCCTGCAGAAAATGACTTTAACGCCCATTACTACCTTAAAACTGAGAGTACAGCGATGAAATTCTACATAAATAAGTTTTGTGCGAACCTCTTTAACAAATTTATTAAGGATCGGTCCTTAATTGACCCCACTCCCCATATAGGTTCTTCAGAATATGACTTTAACGCCCTTCTTACAAGAAACACAGTTTTTACAGTTTATTCTTTTTCGGCAATGATTTGATGGTGGGTATGTTAGATTCGACATGACCGAATATAACCCTCTTACTTGTTTACTTGTTGTTTTTATAGAATCTGGATGATCACTAAATGAACTTTAACTTGCCATAACTTATTTATTTAGCCCCCATACAAGGGGCCCCCCGAAAAACAGCTTTAACAGTAAAAACTGTTTTAAAAGTACGAGTCTAACGATGAAATTCGACATAAATAAGTTTTATATGTCTCAAAACCTCTCAACGAGAATCGGCCCATAATTGATCCTACCCCCCATATAAGGTCCCCTTCGAAAAATGGCCTTAATGGTCATTAATGCCTGCAAAATATGAGTATAGCGAAGACATTCGACAAAATTTTTATACTTACTAGCCAAAATCTCTCTATGAATTTGAGGATCGGTTCATAATTGACCCTAGACACCTCCCCCCATTTAGAAAACTACTTTAACGCTCATACTGGTCCCCTTCAGAAAATAACCTTAACGATCATTGCTGGCTTTAAAAATACGAGTGCAGTTATGAAATCCGCTAAAAGATCCTTTTATATGAACGTAAATATTCCCCTAAAATAAAAAATCTATTTTATCCCCCTTCTTCACCACCAAGCTACTGACGAATTTTGATCTGAAGTTGGATTGATCATTTAGCACTCGATTTTCTTCGTTGGATCGATCTTTTGACAATTAATTACTCTAAAATTTAGTTTTTTTTTTTAAGAATTATGTACGTATCACTAAACTATTGACATAAATATTTTAGTCAGAAACATGAATGATCACAAATCGATCTTTTTTCTCTCGATTTAACCTAACCTAGTTTTTTCTGTCTAATGAATTTCGATCAGAAATTAGAGTGATCCTGTGATCCAATGTCTTTTTATATCCATTTTGAGAAGGCTTCTCGCCCTGCTTTAGTTATGGTCACCACATAGGATATTTGTGGCTATACACACCGTTTCATTATTTTAATAGTTCTTTTGGGATCCTCTCACCCACATTTTTAATTTAAACCTCGTTGCGTCAAATGGTTCTGCGTTCATCAGGTTATCTACCTCGAGCTCCCTTCTTATTAAATCTATTAAATTGGTTTTTTCTTTGCCGTCTACTCGCGAGCGACCTGATATCCAAAATATATAAAACCTTACCTCTGGGAGTGTATTCAGTAAAAGCTTTCTTACAATCGAATTAGGCTTTAGATTCAACTTTATCACCTGATATCGCCATAATTTCCCTCTAACTGTCGGTAAATACATTAACGCCTGTTGGCAACATATTTATTCCGATTCACTCATTACGTTATTGTTAGGACTTATGCCTGGACGCTAGTGTTTGTAACCAATTTAAAGCCATCCGTGTAGCAACGGATTCCAAAGGGTATTTGTTCTAATGTACCTCTTGAACATGATACTCTATTTGAAATTAGTGTTTCAAAATTCCCGGCCAACATTTAGTTATTAAATTCCGTTCATAAAGAACGAATTTTTTTCCGCATTTTCGAAAATTTTAGGGAAAAAATTTTCTATAAAAAGAGAATTTATCAAATATTCTGTATAGAGCAACTACACAGAGAGAAAAGGAAATATGCACGCCTGATACCAAAATTGACACCAAAGAGTTTATAATTTGTCAATAACATCCGTTGTCAAAGTATATACATACGTACTATTGGCAACGGATTGTTTGTCAATAGTGAGCTTAACACGTTTGTTAACTTTTAGACAACGGATGTGTATAAAATTTAGATTTCGACAACTAATTGTTGCAATGTTGACAATATTATATAGTGTTGTCGTACGTATGTATATACTTTGACAACGGATGGTTTTGAAATTATAAAAAGTTTGGTGTCAATTTGGTACCAGGTGTGTATATTTCTTTTTCCCGCTGTGTAGAGAGTCTATCAGTTTTGGAATCATGGAGAAATTATGGTTTTTTTACATACATCCGACATATTGTCATCGTCACCCTAGAATGAACAAATAAATAAACATTTTTGGAAAATTTTCTGTACTATTTTAAT